GACGAGTGGGTCCTCTGACAGATCGGTGCACGCGTCTATGCCACTATATATTACTATAGAAACTGTGAGCGTGTTAGTAGGCTGCAAATAATCTCGGGACACCCCTTAGCAAAAATAAGCAGTTTGAACATGCGTCAAGACGGCATTGGTCGAGTGGTATTATTGTGCACATTACTATATGGAGTGGATCCGATGTCGGATCCACTCCATCATATTCTGAGGTCGCTAAGCGACAAGCCTGATATCGCTTCAAGTACGAGCCTCAAAGCACTTCCGGGAAAGGTATGTGCCCCAACCAGATAGATCGAATGAGCACCTTTGTTACATCATATCCCCGATCACAAGCCAGATAGATTGGATGAGCACCTTAGTTCCACATTACTATATGGATCTAGCTTCCGCTTAAAGACCCCCCCATGGATACAGACATTACAAAGTATTCCAAGCTTCGACTACTTTGTTAGAGAAGTAAAACTTTCGAGTGTCCAGCCCGGCCCCCAGTCACACGTAGTTTGAATGAATGGTCTCTGTCAATTTCGTTGTTGTTGTTCTTAACTCGAAAAAGCCTCCTGATACAAGACACCGATTCTGACGGCGTGTAATGCGGAATTTTTGGGGCATGTCACCTCGTAGTTGTCTGTAACTCACAGGGTAGTGAGGCCTGTCCAATCACAAGCTTGGTTGCATGCCTCTGGATCTTTTCGAGAATTCCGAGGGCCCTAGCGCGGTCTCCAAGCCTGGATAGCAAACTCCAGTTGCGGCCGCACAAAGGTTTTTATTTGGACGGAGTTTTGGGCGAGATATTTTGCAATTCTCACACATCTCATTAGGTGAGACGTATAAAATACATTTTGCTCTCGAGTCCAGCCAACAGGCGCTCAATGGTTAGCATATATTATAGGCAGAAGTAAATTTTATAATAAACCTGCACACAAATATTCTCTATTCAGTAGCAAATTACACCTTCCCCAAATTTTATACTTGAACAAGGGGCATCTTTCGGTTTGGATCGTGGGCAAAACTGTCTTGTGTCGCCTAACTATCTGTTCCCCCCCCAACAGTCTTACGGACTCGGTTGCTAAACATTTATTTCCTGGTTAACGCGTAAATTAATATGTAATTGTGTCGAAAGTGTCCAAAGAATACTAAATTTAAGCTAAATAGCATCAACCCCATCAACATAAACTCCTGTTATTCAGGCAAATTGATGACTATTCATGCAAATGCGACCTTATGTTGGCGGAGTTTAACTGGAAATGAGAAATGTGGCCTTATATTGGCGGAATTTAGCGAAAAAGGGAAAGTCGGGCTACTTCAAAATGTAAAAGTAGATTATTATTACTATTATCAGTCAAAGGCAAGGAGGATCTCTAAAGACAGTCCTATCGGATCATGTTGAACACTGTATGGGTCACATTAACAAATTTACGGATGCGATATATTATGCATGAGCATTTAACGATCTGAAACATCTTCATAATTAGCCATCTTTCCACAGAGTATGCTGTCTGCAGGTGATTAAAAAGGAGACCTTTCAAAAGCCGACATCTTGGGAATAGGCTGCACACTCCGGACTTTCGTTTGATGAGATAGGGACTCTCCTGTATGTCTCGAGCACACTTCCTGGAGGGCATAAGAGTCATAGTCACTATGTGACGGTCTGGCGGGTTCACGTTGTGAGCTCTTGGGCAAAGCGGAACTTAATTGTTCCTCTTCTAGATCGGCGAAGCATATATATTCATCACATTCCCGATCTCAACGGAGAAAGCAAGGGGCCCGTTGTGGAGTATTGAACTCAATGACCAAGGGTTCCGGGTTCAAATCTCGGGGGTTCCA